TCTTCTTATATTTATTTTACTTAATTTTTTGTTGCTCAGCTGTTATGACAAGTACAGTTTTCGGGTTATTTCAATCAAAACTTCATTGACACTGTACAGAAATAATTGTAGAAAACAAAATTTAATTTTTAGACGGATCCATCCCAGTGTATAGTGAATAGTGATAGTAGTTTACATACAGTCAGTACTGAGAAAAATGATAGTGATTATCAGCATGAAAGGTCAACAAAAAGGTCACCTGCTCTTTCTGAAAACATTACAAGGTCACAAAACGTATTTTTATCGTTCATTCAAGTGGAATACTTTACTTGTAATAAGGAAGGAAGAATACCTCACCTTGCGGCTACCGTTTCCGGTATAGATTCTGCCGAAGGGCAGTTTTAATAGTCCGACAAGCTTCTGACATGGTCAACCATCTCGTTACTAGTCATCAATCACAGCTCTGGACTAGCTTGACGCAGAATTCTTTCGCCCATTTACTTGAGCTCCCCATACACACTCACTACCACGTACTGACTTTCCGGAAAGTTACCCAAACTAGCCTGAGGAGCTGTGTTGTACATCACAACGTAGTGCGTATGCTATCGGACAGGTGATCATTCACGATATTCTAAGAAAAAATTCTAGAAAATATATTTTTCTTTAGTTTTAAAATTTAATTATAAAAATTGCAATGACTACTTGAGTTAGCATTGCAAATTGTAACGTTAATCTGCGATACTTCATCTCCATCTGTGCTATAGTCTGATTTTTAAATCCGTAACATTTTAATCCATAAGTTGACTTCCTATTGCATTTTTTGTAATTTAATTTTGAAACTAATGAAAAATGCATTTTCTAGAATTCTTTATCTTAGAATAGCGCGAATGACATGAACTTTTCAGTGATGGATTCATACGCTTTTTATCACTCTAGTCTTCTTAGATGTCTTTGAAGAAAAAAAAATAAAACAGATAATATGTTGACAATCGCCAGTACTGTACTTTGAGTGTGTGCGCCAACAACGATCAATTCACCGTATGATAGATATCTCGTCGCATCTATAAATTGTAATGTTTTAGAATCAATTCATTGTGTCAAAGTAGACAAGGACAAACTGAATATTGATATTCGTGTAAGTACGACATATATTATTGTACATAGTGATGTCTATTTTTTTTCTATAATTTAAATATCTGATCTTGATTTCAAGAACGTATATGGATGTCAGAATATCGAGAAATGTTTGAGGAGAAGTTTTTGTCTAAACTTGACTCAATCCTTACAGAAATTTTAGAATTATTTCCCAATCATTGAAATAAAGATCATGTTTTTATACACACTTAAAACATTTTGAAATGGAATTAAAAAACAAAAATTGAGTATTGAACACTAGTTTTTTTTTCTATTATTGCATAATCCATTTTCAGACATCGGAATTGTCTTCAATTGTTTCCACTAGTATTGAATATAGAAATAATAACCATATACTTTTTTGAATGAAATATCTAAAGTACAATCGTAAATATTGGTGAAAAACAGAGTTACTTTTATATAATTGAAAAAAATTTTATTGTCATTAGTCTGTTGATGCTTAATTATCATTGACATGATTCTTTTCTCTATGTGACAATTTTCTCAGCAATATCTGCTAAATGAAGCTTTAAAAAATAGCTCTTTGATAAATGATAAAAGAGTTAGTATAGCGACAATAATTAATTATTATAGAGTTATCTCTGTATATATGCATACACCTGCTATTATTATTTATTAACCCACCTCTTTTCTCATTTTTTTTTCTCTACTATGTCTTCGACATAAGAATTATTTTTATGTTGACCGAAAGTTATATAACAGCTATGAATGATATGACAAACGAAGTTTTTTTCAATTTATTTCATCATTCAAGGTTCACATGTCAGATAACAGGTAACCTTTTGAATTATATACAATCAACACATCGTTTATAGACCAATTTCTACCGATCATCTATCTCTCATATACATCCATTTCTATTCCCTATCTAAAGTTAAACTGATCACTAAATGATATTGTACGTAGAGAGAAAGAAAAACGAGAGACAGAAAGATACATTTTGTTTTATTGATGAAAAAAATAAATGCATTTCGATCATCGAATATTATTAAAAATCATCGACATTATTATTTTTTTTAACATAAAAGAAAAAAAAGAGAGAACATACAGTTGCAGAATGGATGGGCTGGAATAGTTACAAAATATGGAAAAAAAATAGAAGAATAAAACGTATGATGGACTAAAAATAGACGGACAAGCAAGAGATTATGGCAATATGAAGAAGGAAATTACCGCTTGAAGAAAGACTTATAAAAATATTTTTTAAGGCAATCAAACATAAAAGTAAGTAAATCAAAATGTCCTCCTATACATGGGAGGAGATACAAGACTTTTTGTCCTTTTTTTAAATCATATATGCATGGAAAAGTGAAATCAATAGGGTTACATGATTTATCAAAAATAAACTTTTAAAACAAAAAATAAGAAAACAATCTAATTCTTTGCTCATAAAATAACAATAATTTATGTTAAACTAAAATGATTTAGAAAAAAAAATCTCTTTGAATTTTGTGTTTTTGTTTACATGTAAGAGATTAGGAAATCTAAAAAGATTTGTTCTAAAAAAGATTTTTATTTTATTGCATTCCGACGTACTAACTTGTTCTATTTGATATAGAAAACAAAAAAAAAAAAAAAACAAAAAATTAAGAGATCAAATCCCAACGATGTTTTGAGTATATTGTTCCTTGACATACAAGAAAATGATGTTCGATTCACAGTATGTCATGATACTTTCTTGATTTATGCAAAATAAATCTTCGTCTTTATCGATGTCCTTCTACCGTAGATATGACAGATAGGTCTATAATACATCATATTTAAAGTGAGAAATAGTATCTAGTTGAATGTTTATTGATTATACTAGAGGGCATTCATTTTCTGTCAACTTTTTTTTTTTATTATGTTAATGAATGCCTATGTCTCGTCTCATCTCTGAAAAAAACAAAATTTCGACAAATCAAAGAAGTATAACAAAACTAATTCAGTTCAATTTTCTTGTTTTTCTTACAATTAACTACTAAAAATCTTCTTCTTTTTTCTAAGATTGAAATTGTATAAGATTTTTTTGTAAGCTAACAATAACACCGGAAAGATCAATCAATGTCTGTCGGTGGACTAGATTCATTTCTATAGGGCTAAACATGGAAATAGATTTTCTTCTTTTTTTTTTGTTTTGTTTTCTATATTTCTAAATTGAATGCGACAATAGATGGAATTATGTACAAGGCTTATTAAATAAGCAATGATAGTTGTTTTTTTCTTCTGTTCATTGTATTGAAGTGGGAATAGTTTATTGATGGTTTTGACTAATCCTTCTTTACGTTCATTATATACTCTACATTTATCTATAGAAAGACATAAAAAGTTTTTATGAAAAATGTTTTCAACATGCTTTTCACTTTTTGAACGTATATATCACACCCATGTTAATCGAGTGCATTAAATCTTAATAGTTCTATAAAGAAAAGACAGATTCTTTTCTGTTCTTCTTTCTTTCACATATTGTGAAATTATTAATGGATAGTAACATGATCTGTATGCTCAAATCTATATCAAAAGAGACTTTTCGTTAGTTATCTATGTGTGTCATTCGGAATTTTTTCTTGAAAAATTTTCTTGTCATAAATTAGAATAAGCTCTATACCATGCGTATATAAGTATATAGAGACAAACAATATATTTTTTTTTGTGAAAATCTTATATTCAAAAGAGTCCGTACTGTATGTATCCATTGTTTTTTTGTCACTCCAAATCTATGTCTACTCCATATTACACTATAATCTTAATAATATCTAATCTCTTTAAACCTCATTAGAGTACAGCTTCAAGGACCTTTTTTTAGTAAGTGTCTTTTATCACGCGTAAGCTTAATATTTGTTGGAAAGTTATTTACACCATAGCTATTTATTTAGATCATTATTCCTTGTTTTTTTAACAAAATTCCTTATATTATCTTTAACAATTCTCATGAAACATAAATTATCATAATAGATGATCTTGAACATGCTGTTTTCTGTATAGAAGAAGATGAGCATTGATTCTTATATGCTTTAGGCAATGTACGTGAATCCAATTAGTATATATCAACACACTTGAAAGCAAAATTATGAGGAAAAGAAATAATTTACATTATATTTGCATTATATCTTTTTGAGAATTCCTACCACTTGTCGTCTATTATAAAAAAAATGAGAAAAGGTAAACACGTTCTTAAATTAGTTTTATGGTCACTAATTTTGTGGTGGCTACTATATTTTTAAGAGGATTGTTTAAAACCTAGCAAGTTTTTACTAGGTATCCTCTCGGTTAAAGATAAAAGAATGAGTGAGATAGTTACTGAAAGAGGTTGACTGCTGCGAGACATGATTGTGTATGAATAAATATGTAGTAAAAGTAGAGACACTCAGAGCAAAGGAAGTGAACTTGAAAAATTTACAATTTAATTTCAATTTTCTTTCTTAAATCGGAAGAATATGAACACGTTTGAGTGGAAAAGAAGGCAACACTAATTTAAGAAATTCTTATGCCATACGCTCAGATGTAATCTGAGGAGATAAACCATAATATACTTTACTCTGCAATTTAGCATAAAAATGAATAATCGTTACTGACTTTTATTCACATGTAAAAGTTATAATTTCTATGCTCTCAGTTGGGATTAGATAGTGTTATTCAAATTAATTTTAAAATAGGAGAAAAGCTTCAATCTCAACTGAATTTCAAAAATAAAGACTTAGAAAACAAAGACAAACAAAAACAAAAATTTTGAAGTTAAACTAAACTAGATAAATTTTCTTTTTACCGAGCTCAATCTAGCTTCAGAATTCTTACCTAATTATATTATTTCGTTGATCATATGATAGATTAAATTTAGCAATCATAATGTATAGAACCGTATGAACTATGAACTATTTATTTTTACGATGTCATCGAATGTCAGTCTACTAACAGATAGGTGAGTACGCATATTACTGCAGTATCATTCAAACTTTATGGAATACGTAACATTTTTAATTCCGTGATTAAATCACAGTCGTTACTTCTTCAAAATATTGCATTTTTACTATTCCTAATTAAACATCTCTCTTATTGAGTATGAAAGACATCATGCTACTTTTCTGGATAATCTATTTTAAATTTAAGCGGAAAATAGCCTGATCTTTAATAACGAGTTAAACGCTTACAGTACTCTTTGAGTGATAGAATAAAAGTTTCTTTCATTCCAGGTTTGATATTTAGCTCTTTTATATCTTCGACCATGTAGAATGGGAGCGCAATACAGTTACTAGTTAGTCTAAGAACCCTTCTGCATAGAAAATGTTTTTCCAAACTGTACTATCAGTGAGATAAAATTTTCAAGAATTGAAGATGATGATGTGACCTAGCTATGATAAAACGTAAGCGCTAAAGGTTGAGTCGTTCTAGTGTTATAAGTGTCGTATATGACAAAAAATTGGTCTTTTTGATAGAACCGAATGAAAGTTTTTTATCCAGAAGAAGAGAGAACATAAATGTTTTAGATGATTCTAGTCATCTAGATCTATTAATTGATCAAGATAACTTTTTAATTTTGATTGCATTACTTTTTGGCACACGTTTCATCCTTCGCGCAGAAGTGCTTTTTTTTCTTCATAATAAAAACGAACTTCAAAAACTGTTCAGTTTTTCTAGATTCATGTGATGATCTTCAATCAAAAAAAAATTAAGATTCTATGTTGAATCGTCTAGCACATCTATGTTTATAAAAACTATGTTCTGAGAAAAACGAGAAACAAATTTAAAACATCAGATAAATCTTCAGTTTTTAATCGCAGATACACATGTATAGTAGTTTCGTGAAGTAGAAAAATTGTTCTTTCGGATAAACATAGTTCATATAATTTCAGCCCATTTTATTCATGGTAAATAAGAAAACGATATTCAAAAAGTTTTTTGTTTCTTTAAGGGGTTTCTTAAGAAAAAACAATCATGAAAACGTTTCGATTTACTTTTACGCGGAAAATTACATATTTTGTGAAAGAAGACACTTCAGGCTGTAAAGATAGTAAATGAAACAAAAAAAAAAAAAATAAGTTTCGTTGCAAAAACGTTGTGTTTTGTATAGAGACGGAGGAGGGAGACGACTGAACCACAAATTTCGAAAAATCTTTGATTAATATAATAATTTTGACATGCAAAAAAAAAGTACAAATGTATTGAACTAAAACTATAAATAAATGTTTAACTATATATATACTCGGTATAATCAGAGAGATATCTTGACCCTTTTTTGTCAGTACTTATTTGAGTATTACTTGAACATATTTTATTTTTTTACGAATACAAAAAATAAAATTAAATAAATAAGAGACGACTTGTTTTTCTGACTATACACTTTCAAATTTAGCGAATAGAAGGCGCAAATCGTCTAAATCTTGACGATTTAGACTTGATTGTTCGAAGAACTGAATACTTATTGTTATTAAGAAAACTTAATCGATGACAAAATATTTTCGTAGTGTGAAGAGCGTCGGCTATATAATCTTAGCCTTGGGATAGATTTCTTTTTCCTTCTTCCGAAAAAGTTTTAATAAATAATAGATGGTTCGGTGATCTCTTTTTGTATATCTATAATAACAAGATTATTCTATATACGATGTAAAAGAGTCTATTAATCTTTCTATACAGAGATATTAGAAAGAGCTTTCTATGCAGAGATATTAGAAAGAGCTCTCCATCAAGACATATTTATTCCTTCTGTTTTTGTTCTGTTTCTTGAACGACAACAAAAAAAAAGAGTGAACAACAGAAAAAATAATTCAAGTGATTAGCTTTGTTATTATATTAGAGAGTTTCACTATATTCTCAAACAAAACAAAAAACAACATAACATTATCAGAGATTTATTTTTACAAGTATTTTTTTTTTTCACATCTAGAAATAATTTTTTGTTCGTTTTTTTTGTTTTGTTTTTGTCTTTGTTTAAAAAAATAAGGTATCTACTGTAACATTGTTAAAATATAATAATTAAGCATTGTTTTGACAACAAAATATAATCATCTAGGCCTTATATAATTGTAAAATAACAAAAATAATATAGATCAAAATATTCATGCAGGTAGAATTATAAATATTGAAAACAGGAAAATTCATGGTTGGAATAATTATTAACGTTTTATCTAACAATAAACGAAATTATAACTGAATACAATGTTACATAGTCATTCTAAAACTACTCTTCTAGTTATTAGTACTCGTCTGTATTATTACTACATTATTGAAAAGTAAATTATTATTAATAATTTATAACATTGTGATGTTGTTCGATTATTGGATACATTTATCACATATATTGTGGGGAGAAAAAAATGATGTTGAACCGTGAATATTGAAAAAAAAAACGTTTTAAGATAAAGTTGTCTATTATAATGAATGAATAAATAATAATACAAAAATATATGAAGAAGATGAAGAATTATATTTTTTTTTTATAATCAGCCAAAACATGTCTTTATCATCTGTCATTGAACAATACGTCGTTATCATAATTTTGAAAACTGGTGAATGTTTAGAATGTATTAAATATTATTTTAATTGTTATTGTTGTCTTTGTATAGTTCTATAAGGTAATGGGACCCAGTTTTACAGAGACTTTAAAAATTAAGTGACTTCTGATTGTAGAGAAATATGATTAGGATATGATAAATGAAATAACAACAGCATGTTCCCCAATCGATAGTAATACACACATACATCTATGAACAAATGGATTAACTGAATAAATTTCATCTGTCACAAATTGTATGCTATACAAATGCTAATAAAAAAAAGAAAACTTTATATGTCTTATTTCGTTGATTCTTGCATAAATCCGATCAAATTACCAAAGTTATCTTCGGTTTGGATGACTAGTAGTTATTTTCTATCGTTACATGTCAATTTTTCTATATAAAATAATTTGCATTTTATTCTCGAGTGTCGGTCCGAAAAAACACGATTGCGTAATCATAATTTGGATTTTTTGTTGTTTTTTTTTGGACTTTAACAGATGTGTATGTATTCCGATTAGATTCTTCTCTCTTCATTTTCTAATAGTTAATATCAATTTCTCTTTTTTACATTCGGTTCTTTTGATAAAAAAGCGTCATGCATAGCATGTATCAAAAATAAAATTGAATTATCCTCTCAAAGACACGTTCATTCATCCATATGTATAATTTTGTGTCAAAGAAAAGAATAAGGGTTGCTGTGACATTGAAAACGCGTGAAAGATAAATTGAACTATTATCAAAACTTGAGATGGCAAAAAAAGAAAATATAAAGCGTTGTTATTTTCTTTAGTCACTGATCAGTGTGTAAATAGCGTATAATATAGTAGTAATGTTAATTATGATGAAATAACGGAAATATTGATAATTATTCATGATGTAAAATTATTTATTCTATTTGACACTTTTTGTCAATAAATTTGTTGAACTTTTTTTCTTTTTGTAGAACTATGAGTAGTTTATGGAAGAATGACACGATAGAATACAATGAAAAATCACCGGATTCGTTTGTCTGGAGTAGTCTGAGCTTAGTAATAAGTAAGTCTATCGAGGTAATTTCTGAACTGAAGTATATATTTTTATTTGTTTTCGGTTTTTTTTATAGTAATTATAGCAACAGTATGCGGAAACAGCCTTGTTTGTATCGCTGTTATCCGAGAACGTCAATTAAGGAATATTACTAATTATTTTTTAACGTCGTTAGCATTTACCGATTGTCTAGTAGCGTGTCTTGTTATGCCATTGGCAGTTACAGTTGAACTCATAGGTATATTAAATCACATTAAAAAATTAAATATGAAAAATTGTGATGATCTACACTATTTATATAGGACATTTTCCATTTGATTCATTTGCCTGTAATCTATGGTTAACATTTGATGTTTGCTGTAGCACATCATCCATTTGGCACATGAGGTGACTTTGATATATCTTTTATATTTTCATCTATCGAATATATTTTCGTTTTTTATAGTGTAATGTCATTAGATCGTTATCTTACACTACGATATCCCCTAAAATATGGAAGAAATAAACGACGAAGTTTGATGGCATATAAAATTATCACAATTTGGTACCTATTATAAAACTTTTAGTAATAGATAAATTAGAAATTTTTCTCTATATATTTAGGTTGATTAGTTTTGCTATTTGTTTACCATTATTTATATTAGGTCAAATTGATTCAACAAATGTTTTTGATAGAGAGAATCGTGCATGTTTTCCACAGCATCGTACATTTAAAATTTACGGAAGTATTGTTGCTTTTTTTATACCGTTAATAATTATGATTGTAACATACGCATTAACCATGAGTGCTTTACACCAAGCCGTTAGCACAAAGAAAAAACGTTTAAAAGGACGTAATAAAATGGCATTAGTATTAAATTTAGCCACAATGGCTGTTAGATGGCGACGAGCAGTTAATACACCAGCTGATGTGCTCAAAAATGAAGAAGTAGTTAATAGTAAGAATAACGATTGTTCTGAAAATCTTCCGCCTGTAGTCACAGAGCCAACAACTCATTTAACTCCCAAACGTCGTGCCTATTCATTACTTTCAAATGAACACTATGATAAGCAATATGAAACGAATAGCAGTCTTTCAACATCAATTAATCATTTAAATAAAAAATTTATTTCAACACATCAATGGCAAAAATTATTGGAACGTCATCATAATCCAAGAATGTCGGCTCCAAATAAAGTACCTGTTTCCAATTGTAATAACAAACCTCTTCTAGATAAAACAAGTAAGTTTTTAGAAAGTCATTGATTCTTTGAACATTTGTATATAAATTTAGATAAAAACCAAAAACAACTACTTGACGTATCATCATCTTATCTGCAACAAAAAGCTGAGGGAAAACGATCACATTCGTGTACGCAATATTCATTGAACGATGATTTTAGACAAAAGAAACGGCGAAGTTCATCAACTCACACTCTATTACAAATCAGAAGAGATTCTCAAAAAATAGGTGAAGAATTAGAAAAATTAAGTCAAAGAGTGTCTTCATTAGCAATGATAAATCCAATAGCTAAAGCATTGATACCCCAGTCAACAAATGAAACACATTCATTTTTAAATAACAAAAAATCAATGTCCACCATGGATACAATAGTGCGAAATAGCAACTTAAATTTATTATCTGAACACCACCGATATCATGCGTAAGTAAACTGAGAAATTTGAAATACATGTTCTATTCTTTTATTTTGATAAACGCAGTGTGAATCTGCAAGGTGCAAGTACGTTTACTGTAAACATTCCGTTCACTCATTCAATGCAAACTCCATCAATTAATCCTGTTCAAATCACACCAGAAAATGGTTCTAGAACTATTACCATACCACAATCATCACCAACTATTCCAAATGTTCTCATTACTCACGAAATGGACAATCAAAATAGTCCGATAAAACGTCGTTTATCTTCACCATCGAAAAACATTCAACAATCAAATGTAAAAATGGCATGTCGAAAATTACGTTATTGGATAACTGTAACTTCTGATGGTGATCGCCCATTTTATTCCGCAAACAATCTGACTGAACATACACCGATTATTAATAAAAAAGATCCTCGGCAATCGTTTACACATCTATCATCCGCATGTCTACGATTATTACCAAATATCGAACAATTTTGTGGTAAAACAACAATCGTACCAGAAAATTCGTCTACAGTTCGCCAACAACTACTTGTAGATAATGCTGTATCGTCGTCTGTTCATAGTTGTATGCTCCAACGAAACAGTTGTACGCTACAACGAAGTTCAGTTTGTTCCAATCTTGCAGCACTTCCAAGACGTCAACGACGACGTGGCTCATCGTCTTCCTTTCAGATATATTCCAATCAACAACTTCAACAACTACCAATAAATACAGATCGTTTATCATTAGCATCGGCTATATTATTTCAAAAACGTTCACATTTCGTAAACGGCAGTGAGCAGAGTAGTTTTCAAATGGTATCAATTGACACTGAATCATCATCGTGTTCATCATCATTAACGCATACAGGTAATTAGTTTAGAATCAATAAATGTGGCGAATACATGTTTTTTTTTAACAGGTGTACCACATTCGATTACAAACTCATCTGCTTCAACAAAAAAACATAGTAATACGTTTAAAAATTTAACAAAATCGTCTGTTAGCAATGAGCGTAAAGCTATGCGTGTATTATTAGTCATTTTCTCGGTATTTGTGATACTATGGACTCCATTTTTTATCATAAATCTATTGTCCTGTTTTATATCGAATATTCCAAATGTTTTGTTATCCATGAGTACCTGGTTAGGTTATTGTTCCAGCGGTGCTAATCCAATTATTTATACAATATTCAGCCGTGCATTTCGTCGCGCATTTTATAACATCTTATTTTGTAAAAAAGTTATTACATCACACAAATCACAATTATTTAGTCCATCATGTAACACATTAAGTATCACGCGAAATAATTATAATAACGAAAGAAAACATTCAAATTACAGTTATGTTCAGGCTGGCATCTGAAGAGCAAAGCATTCCTTTCTTTCTTTCTTTTTTTAAATAAAAAAACAAGTGCAATGAACAATAAACTTAGAAAACATCGTCCAATTTTCACTTTCCTTCCTAGAAATTTTATCAGGCGACAGAAATAGTTTGGTCTTCTACATATGTTCTTACATGCGTTAAATTTTCGCGTTTTTGAATGATTTTCTTATTTCTCGAACTCACTATACTGTATATAAAAAGACTGAACTATATCAGGGTTTGAAATGTAATTTAAAATCAGAAATAATCGTTTTTTAAAGCTTTTCTTCTGATAGAAAACATAAAAAGTTTTTGTTTCTGACACAATGTCATTGTTTCTTTCGAATTGTTTATTACAGAATGTGGCAAAGTTATATACGCTCTACTCATTTTAGAAAATGAAAACTTTTTGCATCTACAATAATTCATTCATGAATTAATAAATTAGTCTTAATGAGTAGAACGATGATAACACATAGTAAGATACTGAGCTACCTCACAGCAGCTGATTGAGAAATGGAAAAAGTTTAATAATTTGTTTAAAAAATCGTCCTTCTTTATCTAGAATGATGAATACAAAACAAACGTGGTGACTTCTCTATCTGTTATAAAAATAAATTGAATGTGACTAGTACAGACATACAGCATCTTAAGATAAGATATCCGCCGGGGGTGGAGAAAAAAAATAAGATGCAACTCATAAGATGATTCTTTTTGTATTGTGTAAGTTTTCATAACCGCTTTACATGGCAATTTTGAAAATGTTTTTCAAGGCTCTCTACCATTTGGACGACTACTAAGAAAATATGTGTTTGGACGTCACGAACATGAAGTCTATGCATATTTATCTTCTTGAATTGATCATGGATTGCAAAACGCAGAACCTTAACCACTTCACTTTCGCATAATTAAAAGTAAGGTAGATATACAGTTTCTGGAATGAAATCTTCAGTATGCGCCTACCAAAAGGAGGGAGTCCGATTTTCCTTGATTTCGGTCCACTGCTTTTTCGACTTAATTTTGATCAGATTTAATAGAGACAATGATTTTACACATTTTTAAGTGCATATGTGCCGTTATAACCTTATGGAGACTTTTCAAATTAACTTTTCTGAGGAGATACATAAAGTATATCGCTCCTTAACAAAAACGACTCTGTTCAAAATCTAATATGAAGTTATGGTAAAGCGTGATATAGAAAAATAGCCAATGAAAATCCGAACAAACTAGTACATGGACCGTAGTCACACACTGTATATTTAAGAAGAAATCGTTTATTTTCGAACATCCGCTATCCAGTGGTTCATCCTTCAGCGATCATTTTTCCCCATTTTAAGAGAGCATGCAACTAGTCTTTAGTATAGAAAAATAGCTCTTGAAAGCTCTACAATATTTTGAGTAAACTCTAAATACCATTGGCTCAATCCGTTATAATTCAAATAGGAGAAAAAGCAAAGAAATGCAGTCATATTTTGTAGTTTTCATCATTAAATTTCAATTTTTTCTCAAAACCAACATCATATTTGGAATTATCGTTAAAAACTGCCCTGAACAATCTTTCTTTCGAAATTTTTAGACTGAAAAATCAAAGTTGGTTGTAATGGTGTACTTAAAAATGTGTAAAATCGTTTTCTCTGCAAAATCTGATCAAAATTAAGTCGAGAAAGCAGTGGGCCATAATCAAGGCAGATCGGATCCTCTCCTTTTAAATGTAGTTTAACCTTACAGAATATGTATTTCGAGCGAGGTAATAAAAACATTAGTTACTGCATTCCAATTAAATAGTAGTAAAAATGGCAGTGAAGATTGAGTAATTATTGTAATGCAGTAGATGATAATAAACTAACTCAAACACTTTTATGTGTGCCTACTACGTTAGTACCTGTAGAGAGTGTTTTCACTGAGTGGTTTTCTTTTCCGATCTCATCGATGTAAAATAGCAAAAAGTTCGCGTTCAAAATTAACATTGTTGAAATGCAATCTTGAGTTGTTAAAATGGTTTGTTTTGTTTATACTCTTGTAAACAAAAGCGAAATAAACAACTACTAATTAAATAAAGAAGAAAATGAATCAAGACAAAATAAGTTCCTGTCGGAAACGAAGTTAGAGTTGGGATCCGCAGGGTTGGAGTTGAACTTACGAGGGAAGATCTCCAGGTGTTTCCCTGGGATTTCAAAGCAATGTACCCCACTTTGCTAATTTAAGGATGCTGATTATGAATCTGAAAACCATTCGTGCTCTCGTTCAATCCTTCAAGAGTTATAACCATTTTATTTTAATAGTAGCGAAAAGTACCATATTTTGAAAAAATCACAGCTTTTCATAGAAATGTTCAATAGAGCTGAGAAATAAGCCATTCTACAGATAAACATCTTAGCTATAAAATGATATGTGTTTTAGCTTCAGAGAACGTTTGATTGTTAAGTAAGAAAAATTTTAAAATGTTGCACATTTTCCATTTGTTTTATGTTTCTTTTTGAAAATGTTTAGAAAAATTTGCCATATATTACCACAAGATTTCATTCTGTTACATCATGGCAGTCGTGGTGACAACCAAGCTAAAACACATATCATTTTATAGCTAAGGTGTTTATCTGTAGAATGGCATATCTCTCAGCTCTATTGAACATTTCTACGAAAAGCTGTGATTTTTTCAAAATATGGTACTTTTCGCTACTATTAAAATAAAATGGTTATAACTCTTGAAGGACTGAACGAGAGCACGAATGGTTCTCAGATTCATAATCAGCATCCTTAAATTAGCAAAGTGGGGTACATTGCTTTGAAATCCCAGGGAAACACCTGGGGACCTTCCCTCGTTAGTCGCAGTTGCCCAATCTGACTCGAGTCATTGATATTACAGGTCTAGGACCTTTGATGACTCTCACTCTTCGTGAATTCACTAGTCTAAGCGTATGACTGTCCTTCTTTATAAGTATTCAAGTGTATGACACAAGTTAATATCTGTGATCGATTGTTTAGCTCCATTTTTATCGATCCATTCCAGCAGATCAATAGGACATCGTGCACAGATTCATCTGCCGATATCCAACAAACTATAAGCACAAGTTGAATGCGTACGCGCATTATGTACTATGATCTCGATTATGTGGTTTTTAAAATATTCTTTAAATTCTAATAATCAAAACAATCGTTCATATTGTACTAATATTGTTGTATACTATTTATACCATCGTAATTGTAAGAAGTGACCTGCCAATATAATAAGAGTTACCAAAACTGACTGATCGATATTGGAAATTCCAGCGACATTGACTTTAATCTCACAATCTGAAGAAACTATTACAAAAGACAATTACACTTACTTTAATTAATTAATAAGAATATCTGGAAGTCGTTCATTTACTCGCCTGTTGTTTATCTCCTTAAAACATTTAAAAATTACAAAAGGACAAAAATACTCATTAGCGAAATTTTCATGGAAGAACAAATTATCAGATGATAGTATAACCTTTATTTGACCAAAATACTTTATACTAATCATAGTATTTTTAAAGCCAATCTCTAGCAGTCTCTATCGATTCACAAGTATTTACGTTTTTTGAGATTTGTATACGTTCTGACTATATAATTTTCTTTATTAATTTTCTTATTCTCATTTTTTATTTTCAATGGCAGTTAGCCAGCTCTCTTCGCGTGCACATTATCATGCGGCACAAGTAACACTTCAATGGCTAAATTTTGGTTGTACAACGAATTGATTGTAGAATATCTCGAACGAAAATGACAGTGATTTTTTCTAGGTAAAAAAACGAGTAAACCCGTGAGTATAATTATACTTGTAGTATACTTTACTTCGATAGACTAGCGCAGCGTTCATATGAGAATATATTTATAACTCGACAAGAAACAGCAAATCGAGACTGCATGACACACTCCCTAATGAATATACTTGGATAAGTGCTTCGCCTGCGTGGTGAAACCGATATTTGCCTTTTTTTTTATAGAAAGTAAAATTATTTGTAAGTGTCTGCGTCGCTTGGAAGGACCCAATTTTCATATTTTCACAAACTACTTCGTAGCAATAAAATCAAGTATCGCAACCTTGAAGAAGTACTTGTAAAACTACATAATTTTTCCAGGTACTTACCAAGTAATCATGTATTTAGATGAAGGACGTTCTTTAGGGCTGCGTTTCTCATCGTATCGACAATATTTTGATGAAAATTATGAGTCTTCTTTGGTTATTAGCAAATGCCTAGTCAGAAAGTTGACTTAAACTCCGAAGAATATACGTGTTACCCATCTTTAACTTTTTTTTCGTATCCACGTGGTCAGATACAACTAAAACATTGAGTTTCAGCGATAACTTGCTGCGTAGAGAAGAGTTTATTTGATGAAAGCAAAGAACTAAGTTCAATAGCATCTCATTTTGATGGTTTACCGACATCCCTTCAAATTATCATGCATTTTGTACATGCTAATAGGCCTATTATATAATAGTATATTACAATCTTAATTTCTGCAGACTGAATGTCAGATATAGAGTCATTGAATGCATGAATGCTGTTCGTGTTTTTTGTTCTGTAACTAATGTTATTTCAACTCTTTGGCCATAATTTTATTTATCATGGATAGCTGAAAATGTTTGCGTTTTATTTTCTTGAAATGGGTATGTTTTTCAATTGGGGCGACAGGAATCTATCTATTCATTTATCACGTCTAATTTTTTAATTATGATTGTAAACTTTCATTAATATTATATGTGCTTTATTTTTTATTTCGAATTATTATTTAATAGAAATGCACATACATATTTTGTTGTCCTTGAACGTCATTGGCAAATGAAAAGAAAAAAAAGAAAGAAATACCTGCCCATTTGATATAGACACAGAAGAAATATTCCATTTTTGTTTTGTTTTGTTTCCTTTTGTAAATAGATTGACAGAAGCCAAAACAGTGCTAGGAAGGTTAAAGAAGTGATTGTAAAACAAGTGATAAAATAAGAAAATAAAAGATCAATGGCAGCGACCAAAAAAAGGAAGAGGAAAAAATGCAATTGTGGCCCACATTATCGAGTTTTGACAGCGCAAAATGCTTTTTTTACTAAAATGAGTCATCAATCATTTATTTTCTTCTGCTTTAGATTTTCTTTTCTATTTTATTGATTTTTTTAAAATTTATCAAATGAAGTTAAGAATTTAGCGAATGAACTTGAATAATCTAAGTTTTATTAAAAATCAAAATGAACATTTATAATAAACATGCAAGTACCGTTAATTTACAACAACTTGTTACAAACATTCCAGTTCGACGGAAAGCACCTGATCAACTTGAAAGAGATAAATTTGAATGGACACAAGTAACAATATTTCATATTTAGTATATCAATGTATTAACACGACTAAATTACTAATTCTTTCTTTCTAGTGGCAAAGTGCAAGTAAAGCTGTTAATAATTTGGAAACGCCAGCTAAAGAAAAACATGTTCGAAGTAAATTTATTTCATTTTTTCTCTTTTTATCATGTATTCTTTGAATTTTCTTCTTCTTTATTTAGATTTAATATTGGGAACATTTCGGCTCGAAGGAGCAAAATTATTTTGGTCAATGTGTACGAAACTACAATTAGAAAGTCATCCAATTGTTTGTTGGAAATTTTGTTATGTTATACACAGGCTACTTCGCGATGGTCACAAACATGTAATGTATTTTTGGTTTTTTTCCTTCAATCGATTTTCAACAAAATGGTAGTGAAGATTAATCTGTTTCTATCTTTCTTTTAGGTTGTTCATGATTCAATACCGTTAGCGGCCTATTTTGATCAATTAGGAAAATTTTGGGTATGTTAAAATAGTTAGTTGGTTATTGTTATATTTTTGAATTGGTTATATATCTATCGCTGTTAGTCTCCTATGATGGAAGTCGGTATTATATCTACATTACTGGTTTGTACGCGTGCATGCATTTATCTTTAAATTACTCTATTGCATAATAAAAACATTGTTTTTCGATTATCCGATGTACAATAATTTATACTCATTGGCTGCTACATGTTTATTAAAAAGAATGAATTTGATTCTTGGATGAAATTATATGCTGTACAGCTTTCTCACTCAAAACTGTTCTTTTATTTCTTTTCATCTTTGAAGAGTGCTCTACGGCAAAGTTATGGTACAATGACCTATCGATATTGTCGATTAATAATTGTAAAACTGGGATTTCACGAAAGAGTATGTTTAATCAAATTATATAATGACTATATCTTATTCTACTTATTTATTTATTCTAGAATGCAATGTTTAGTGGTAATTTGAATATCGGTGAAGGAAATGATGTAAGAAAGATATTTAACGAGAATATGGATGCTTAGTACGTATTTTTCAGGATGCTACAACACTTTTGTCATCAATTCTTTCATATTCTTTTAGCTTTCAATTATCTATTGAGCTAATGGATTATATGGAGGAAATTTTGGGTTTAGTTGATGCTGGTAAGGAGTACAAGTTGATTGTATAGGTGTAAGAAAGGATAAACTATTGTGGATGTATGAGAGCGAATTTTTAAGACCGTGGAACTAATTTACATAGCGTAAAATGTGCGTCATTTTTTCAGTGTTTACCTCTCTCGATCAATCTCGTGCAAATTCGATGACAGCAAGTGGTCAATGTCGATTACATCCACTTATACTGTGTGTTCAAGATTCTAGTTTACTATATGATTACATTGTTAAAGTTTTGTTTAAATTACATGATAGTAAGTCCTCTATATTATTTTGACATTCTAGTAGAATTTTTGTTGCATTATTTTTATTTTTTGAATAGATCTTTCTGGTGATTCATTAACCGGACATCGAACACGTTTGATAGAAGTATTTCGACGATTAAAAAAATTTTATGATCAAGTATCAACTTTACAATATTTTCGAGATTTGATTAAAGTACCAGTGCTGCCTGATGTATGAAATAGAACACTTTATGATAGATTGATCGCTAATAATTATATAAACTTTATATTTATAGAATCCACCTAACTTCAAAATCAAAGAAGATTTTAAAAATTATCATACGCCAGTTGCCACAATTGTTACTCCACCTCCTGAGCCCACACAAGTTATTGAAGCGTCATTGATCGACACGACAGATGTAAATATTAATATAAAAAGTACAATTTAAGTTACCATAATTAAATTTTATGTTTTCATAGGCATCTTCGGATATTTTACCGGCAAATGATCCATTTCTCGCCGATGTATGGCCTCCTAATGGACATGATGATTATAGGTACAGAATTATTTTGTATCCGTTACGCTGTTTTTCATTTATGGAGTTTTATTTTAGAGCAAAAGAAATTGCGGATCTTGAACAACGCATTTTTCAGGTAGCTATCATTTTATTAAAGAATATAAATTTTAGAAAAAGCTGTTTACTCTTTGTTTTTTCTTCTATGTTGTTAGTACAATTCAACGTTGAGAGAAATGCAAGATCAAGTACATGAATTACAAAAGTCAATATCACAAAAAGATTCAAAATTAATTGAAGAAAAAAATGTAAATAGTTTTGTACAATGAAATTATTATTTAATATTTTATTTTTATTTTTTCTATTAAGAGTCGTTTACAATTAGAAGAACAAATTCGTCAGCAATTAGAGAATACACGTCGGATAGAAGAAATGCATGCTCTTGAACGTACGAACGAACTTATGCATCTGATTGAAAAAATTAATTTTTTTCTAGTTATGTTGATGTTCTCTATTTTATAGAAAAAGTAAATTCAGATGAAAAATATATTAAAATGCGTGATCAATATAATAAATTACGTGAAGAACATATTCTTGTTCTAAGACGTGTAAGTTTTAATTTTTCTTAGATAATTTTTTGTTTTATTTATAATTTGATATTTTTTCTTATTTTTCAAGGAAGGAGAAATCAAAAAACAATTAGGTATAATGAAACAAAATTATGAACAATTACTCGAAACAAAAAATGTAAAAAAAGAAAAAAATATTTATCAATTCATTATCGTCTTTTAATAAACATTAATTATTTTCATATTAGAAATTGGAAATAGATTACAAGAAATTAAAAGATGAATGTGAACAAATGAATTTCAATTTTAATTCAAAAATATCTCAATTTGAAACATTAGATAATGAAATATTACAGATGAGAAAAATAAATGACGTGAGTTATTCGAATTATAGTTATAAATAGATATTAATTGCTTGCTTTTATTTTTTGCACATTATATCTTGAAGGACTTAAATCATACAATAGAGACACTTGAATTAAATCAAAAATGTTTAGAAGAGACTATATCGGAACGAGAAAAAATGTTTGCCAATAGTGAAAGTGAGATACAAGTATGAGTGAGACGAATATTTTTCTGTTGTTTTTACTAGTAAAACATGATATCTAGAAAAAATTCATTTATTTGTGTAGAATTTAAAAAAAAATATTGAAAAACTGACGAGTTTAAATCAAACACTTGAAAATACCATGAAGTCAATGACAAATGAATTAGTTGAAAAAAAACAAATTTTACAAAAAGAAAAATCGAGTTGGGAAAATCAATCAAAAGTATGACTAATAAGAGAGTATAATGGAGAGAAAATTAGTGAAAGAGAGTGGAAATATTTTTACCATGCCATATGAACATTCGAGTGTTTTCTCTATTGGTAATTAAATAGTTGATCACATGACTTAATTAATTAATTTTACACATATTTAGCCACAATGCTTTGGTTGGGTTGTTGTACACACACACATATATATATATATATGCACTTCTTCTTGCTTTTGTATTTATCATTCGGATTTTTTTGAACAATTGCTGCCATTGTGGTGAAACAATTCAAGATAGGTATCATATCATTTACACAAACATTTCTTGAGTTTAATATTGTGTGTTTGTTTGTGCGCAATTGAAACTGATTGTTCAACTAGTTGTTTTTCAAGTATCTCAGTGTTATAATGTCCTTTAAATCTTCTTGAATTTTCTAACAAAAGTTCTAGTATTGATATTTGATAATATTATTGAGCTAGTTAGTTGTTTGCATCTCATTTCTGCTTATCAAGCATTTTTGTTTTTCATTTTTGCGTTATATATATCGTTAGACGGTAGAATAGTCAATGTTGTTCGCACACTCGAATGTTCATCTGAAATAGTAAAAAATTATATCATATTTTCTTTCTCTCTCTCTCTATCAATTACTTTGTTTCAAATGAACAAAGACAGAGTTGACAATATTACGTTTTGTTGAGGATTTAAATCAATTAATTGAAACATTTAAACAAAATCAATTGAATTTACAAGAAGCATTAGTTGAAAAAGAGAAAATTATTCAAGAAACATCAGCTGAAAAAAAGAAAATTATTCAGGAGAATGAACTGAAGAAAAAAGTAGGCGAAATAACAAAAGATGAGATATATGCAATAATAAAGATCTATCCGATCAATTGTTTCAGGATTTTCAAAGTGATATTGAAAAATTACGCGAATACAATAAGACAATTGAAGTTAGTTTAAAATCAACATCCAACAATTTAACTGAGAAAATCATCACATTAGAAAATGAAGTTAAACGCTTAAAAGATGAAAATGAAGTAAAATAAAAAGAGATTTTTAATGTTAAATTTTGATTTAATAATATTACGTTTTGTTGAGGATTCAAATCAATTAATTGAAACATTTAAACAAAATCAATTAAATTTACAAGAAGCATTAGTTGAAAAAGAGAAAGTTATTCAAGAAGCATTAGTTGAAAAAGAGAAAATTATTCAAGAAACATCTGTTGAAAAAAAGAAAATTATTCAAGAGAATGAACTGAAGAAAAAAGTAGGCGAAATAACAAAAGATGAGATATATGCAATAATAAAGATCTATCCGATCAATTGTTTCAGGATTTTCAAAGTGATATTGAAAAATTACGCGAATACAATAAGACAATTGAAGTTAGTTTAAAATCAACATCCAACGATTTAACTGAGAAAATCATCACATTAGAAAATGAAGTTAAACGCTTGAAAGATGAAAATGAAGTAAAATAAAAAGATTTTTAATGTTAAATTTTGATTTAATAATATTACGTTTTGTTGAGGATTCAAATCAATTAATTGAAACATTTAAACAAAATCAATTAAATTTACAAGAAACATTAGTTGAAAAAGAGAAAATTATTCAAGAAACATCAGTTGAGAAAAAGAAAATTATTCAAGAGAATGAACTGAAGAAAAAAGTAGGCGAAATAACAAAAGATGTGAAATATTCAATAATAAAGATCTATCCGATCAATTGTTTCAGGATTTTCAAAGTGATATTGAAAAATTACGCGAATACAATAAGACACTTGAAGTTAGTTTAAAATCAACATCCAACGATTTAGCTGAGAAAATCATCACATTAGAAAACGAAGTTAAACGCTTGAAAGATGAAAATGAAGTAAAATAAAAAGAGATTTTTAATGTTAAATTTTGATTTAATAATATTACGTTTTGTTGAGGATTCAAATCAATTAATTGAAACATTTAAACAAAATCAATTAAATTTACAAGAAGCATTAGTTGAAAAAGAGAAAGTTATTCAAGAAGCATTAGTTGAAAAAGAGAAAATTATTCAAGAAACATCTGTTGAAAAAAAGAAAATTATTCAAGAGAATGAACTGAAGAAAAAAGTAGGCGAAATAACAAAAGATGTGAAATATTCAATAATAACGATCTATCCGATCAATTGTTTCAGGATTTTCAAAGTGATATTGAAAAATTACGCGAATACAATAAGACAATTGAAGTTAGTTTAAAATCAACATCCAACGATTTAACTGAGAAAATCGTCACATTAGAAAATGAAGTTAAACGCTTGAAAGATGAAAATGAAGTAAAATAAAAAGAGATTTTCTTCAGATGTTTTTATATTTTTTATACATTGTATTCAGAATTTGTTGAAATTAATTGAGCAAACGAAGAATGAAAAATCAATTTTAGAGGAAAATTTGACACAGTGTAATATGAAGATTGAAAAGTTAAGAACAGTAAATGAGGTAAAACTAGAAATAAAGTATGAGTGAGCAGTAATTATAACAGATTTTCAAAAGTGTATTTTAGCTACTTGAAAAACAGCTTGAACAATTGAATGAAAAACATTCTCAGGATAAAGAACAATACGAATTGTTCTATGTAAATGCAGCACAAACAAAAGCACATATTGAAGAAAATTTAGCACAAATGAACACTAGGCACAATGTAAGAGTAGAATAAGAAACTAAGCACATTGAATTGTTTTAATCACCATTACCATTTATTTTTAGGAACTAAATGATACAATTATTGCATTAACAAGTGAACGAAATGATTACAAAACATCAGTTTTAGCAATGAGTGAACGAATAAAAGAAATTGAAAATGAAAAGAAGGTACCTCGAGTTCATTGTATTTATCAGTTTAACGAATTTGTTGTATACATTATTTTTTCGAGGTTTTTCACACAGATTAGCGGTAAAATATCATAGTGCAATATTACTTCGCTCTACGTTTTCAAAATATGTACATCAAACTAGGCTTGACCTTGAATTTTACCTAGGAATTTCCCTTAATAAATGTTAAGTAAAAACTGGCGATTGATTCGTCACCTTAATGTTCTTTTCATACATCAATAAATAGATGCGACGATAGTTTTCATCCTTGATCACAAACTTTATTTTAATCAGCATAGATTTCCTATAATGAAGTTTCTACTTTTTTTAGACACTTGACCAATTGTATAAACAGACACAAGATGAAAAAGTGAAGATTGATAAACAACTAGCCACGCATACATCTGAATTTGAATCCAAATTAAAAGAGTACGAACTCAATCGAAAAGATTTATTAGATCAAAATCGAGTAAGACTTTTATATTCATACATTCTCATTCATTTGGTATTTAACACATTTCTTTTTACGTTTAGGAACATGAAGAAAATTTGATTGATCTTGTTCATGAAAAAGAAGTATTAGAAACGAAAGTAGAAGATTTACAGTTAACAGCTCAAGATTTGGCAAAAAAATTACATTTTATAAATGAAAGTCAAAAACTACTGCAAATAAATCATACAAATATATTAGAAAATCTCAAAGAATCATATAAGTGTATGTGAACCGAGACTTATACAATATGTTTTTTCTATAAAATTCATTCTATTTTTAGTGTCACTATTAGATCATTGTATTAATCATATCTATGATGGTATTGAACGATCTAATGACAGTGAATTATTATATTGTAAGAGTGGAGCAGAATATCTTTTGTCACGATTAAAATCATCATTATCAACTTTAACAACAACACATGATTATTGGAAAAAACATCAGTCATCAGAAGGGGCTTTATTATCATTTCTTAATGAATGTGTGTCATTATCACATTATATATCAGATGTAGTTGTACATGGCAAAGCAACATCAAATCTTGTACAAGATGCTGATAAAGGAGTTGAACTAGCTGATAGTTGTCGTGAAGTCGGAACATCTTCTATAGAAATATTTGACACTTATAAACGAAGTATAGTTAGACTACTAATTTTCAAAAATATTTGTATACCACTTTTTTTCTTCTTCTTCTTTTAGCTATATCTCCTGAAAGTTTTGAGAATGATATTAAAGATTTGACAAGAAAACTTAATAGATTAATAACAAATACAACAAATTTATTGCCAAAAGTAGATCGTGTTAGTTTAATACTATCCTTATCAATTTTCATATGTTTTCATTTCATGTAGATTACTGATATTAGTAAAGAAGAACTTGGTGATTTGGTTGAAAAAGAATTACAAAATACTCATGAAACAATTGATGAAGCAGTTAGACAAATTCAAGTATTTCGTTTTAGAATATTACAATAATTTAGTTTTATTAAAATTCTATTTATGTTTTTAAAAGGCATTATTGGAAAAATCACGTATTACGGATACGGGTGTTAAATTAGAAGTAAATAGTAAAATATTAGATACATGTGGAGAGTTAATGCAAGCGATTCGACAATTGATAATAAGAGCAAGAGATTTACAGAAAGAAATTGTTTCACAAGGACGAGTAAGAAATTATTTACTATTTTTTGCTAATGTGAAAAATTATGCAATTATTTTTAGGGTACTGCAACGGCAAAAGAATTTTATACAAAAAATCACAAATGGACAGAAGGACTTGTTAGTGCAGCGAAAAATGTTGGTCTCAATGCAAAAGTACTCATGTAAATAATTCATAATATTTTCAAGATAAATATTAATCCTTTACACCCGTCGGTCCCTTCCAAGGGACATTGATGTAATAGATTTATAAAAAGAATGGAACATCAGTCTAAAAGACAAAATTCTTTCGATATAAAAAGAATAATTTTGCATTTCAGTGCAGTGGTCATTTCAGCTGCAGCTATAATAAATGTGTTTTCGGATATAAAGGGTTAAATTAATAATGTTGAGATATTTTCTTCTGACCACTACATTACTGATTTTTAAAGTTTCTCTCTGTACTGATCTGAGCCGGTTTTTAGATGTCTTTTGATACAGTGCGTACTCCTATCTGATGTTAATAAATACGAAAGAAATGAAAGGATATTACTAACTAAGGTTTTCGGTAATTTAATTTAGACTCATATTTTTCAAACTTCCCTTTAGTCTCATATTATTAGACATTACATGTACGTGATCACGATGTTCATTTATCTCTGATTGGCGATTTCAATTTTGATTACGGGTAGTCATCTTTTTTTTTTACCAATGGTGATGATGGTGTGTGTTTATTATTATTTTTTGTCACCGTTTGTAATTTAGCGTGAGGAATGCACTTCATTTTTATCCTATTTTTTGAATTGATTGATATTTTCCAGTTTAAGATCATTGTCGTTATAATGGAATGAGATATATTATATATTTGAACTATTCGCATGTCAGGGTCGTTCATTTATTCAACGGGTATTTTTTTTTCCTACTTTTGTGTGAATGACAATTATCAATGTTTATTTCTTCTCTAATAACTTGCACGAATATACGTTGTTTAAAAGAATATTGTTGTTCATATTATATTAGCGTTTGTTTTATTTTACTTATTTTAGTGAATCGGCTGATCATTTATTGAGTGGTAATGGTAAATTTGAAGAAATAATCGCTTGTTCAAATGAAATAGCGAGCGCAACAGCTCAGCTTGTTGCTGCATCTAATGTAAGAATATAAAGTGTCTGGGAACTATTAGAAATGAATAAATTATGATTTTTTATTTTATATTCAGGTAAAAGCTGATCGTGAAAGTAAAAATCGTGAAGCATTAACACATGCTTCGAAACAAGTGACAGCAGCTACAGCTCAAGTTGTTGCAACAGCCAAAAGTGGAGCAATAACTATTGAAGAAAAAAGTAAGTTGAATGAATACAAAGAATAATTCAAATATTACTTTTATATTTTCATATTTAGGTACACTGGATTTTAGTTCATATAGTTTACATAAAACAAAGCGTGCCGAAATGGATGCTCAAGTAAAAGTTTTAGAACTAGAAAAACAACTTGAACAAGCAAAAGTTAGCTTGTATACACTACGAAAACGTCATTATCAATTAGCTGGTGAAGATGGAGGATGGGATGCGAATGTAAGTAATTATTATCTTAGCTAGATAAATTTTGTATAATAATGTATGTTTTAAATTGACTTTGGTGAGAAACATTTATTTGTGTATTTCAGGCAATCCAAAATGTGGTAAACTCATTATGCTATTGTATTTTCTTTTATTACATCTTTTATTTTGAATTAAGTTGTTCTCGTTAATGAACTATAAATCTTTCTCTTATTGAGTAACTAACATATCTGTGTCATTACGAGAAAATTAAAGCACGGAGCATTCTATAACTATTTGTTTAAAATATATTTTCCAACTTTAATGTGAGTGTTATATAAAAGCTAAGAATAATAATGCTTTTGATTCTTCTCCTTCATCTAACGAGTGAAGAACCCCAAGTTGCAACACGTTTTTTCGGTGAAACTAAGTGGACTATACATAATTGCTGATGATGATTCCAAATATGAACATCGGAGTTGTCCTTAGACTTTTGTTGATCGTTTTTCTGGAAACTGGATCTTCAGAAAATCAGAGATCAAATCCAAAGTATTTTTTGTAAATCGATCATTTTGTAGATGTCTATGTTCCATAATTTTAGTTTTTCAAAATACCATTGAACGGTGTTATGATTTTTGCAAAGTATTCTACTGCAACGTTTTTCCATTAAAACCAGCGTAGCCACTATTTTGGGAAATTTTTCGTTGCTGATTTTTGTTTTGAAAAACTAAAACTTACGAAACATAGACAGTTGTGTGTCCTCTACAAACGGCCTTCTGAATTTGATCTCTGGTTCCAGGCTCCAGTAAAACGGTCAAAAAAAGCCTAAGGGCAACTTCAACATTCATATTCGGCATCAGCGTCATCAATTACATATAGTCCACGTTCGTTTCATCGAAAAAATAATTTGCAATTTGTGTTCCTTCTTTCGTAAGTGAATTTTTCGTTTTTATATCGACAAAAATGACTAAAGGCTCATTTAATAAAACATATGATTGTAACTCAATGTTCGCTATTTAAAGTTTCAGCTTAATGTAAACTAACTTAGTAGACATAGTCTTCTTAAATATATTTGTTTTCTGTTCTAGGGAACTAATATTCGATCATAATTGAATAAACAAAAATGTATTATTGAACATTTATTTGCGATAAACTCTGTTAAGCAAGAGATGATGGTGATTATGTTTTACTCATATTTCTGTTTCTTTTTTTGAAAATATTGGCAATTACTATTTATTTTTACGTGACGTCTTTCATGCTCGTCATATACGAAACAAATTTCCGGTTTTTAGATCAAGTTAAACAAATACGTCTTTGGTTTTTTATTGATAACAGTGAATAATAAAACATTTTTTTTCTGTTTTATTAAAATTTTAAAAATACACGATAAATAATGTTGATCGGTGCTTTATATGTCTCGTAATTCAAAATATTGTTGTGTTTTGTTGTTTTTTTTATGATGATTATCTCGACTATTATACATACCATTTGTTGCTACACTTATTTTTTCTATTTGTACAGTTGTTATATTTCTTTATCATTTTTTCGGTGCTTGTTTCTCTCTTTTTTATATTTTTTTAAGATTTTTTTTGTGTTTTCAAAACAAATAAGATGTTTAAAGTGAAAATTCAAAAATGTGGTGTGATTTTTTTTTACCATTTGCCGTTATTTTTTGTTTTGTTTTAACGATTGTGAACATGTGCGCAGTTTTAGGTCGCTTTGGAAGTTTCCTATTGTTTCATTCGCATTTTCTTCTTATTGGTGTTACGGTAGTGCTATGTGATTGTTGATTTCTTTTTTTTTTGCGGAAAAGGTGAAATGATTTTTCCAATAATTAATTTATTATTATTTGCATTTCAGTTATGAGAGAAACAAAAAATCTAAAATAAAAGTAAAAATTCTTTATTATACATGAACGAAATTTGGAGCTGTAACGAATTACAATGCATTTGTCATTTAATGATTATAATCCGAACTTTTTTTACTATTTACATCAAAAACATCCAAATTCGAAAAGTAGAATCAATTCTAAGTCTTTTTACTAAAGTATTTTGGAATGAACTGTTAGTTTATTGCACAATTGCATCTGATGGAATTCTACTTTTATAACGTGTTGCTATTATCCCATTGTTCGCTAAAATTTTAGCGAAAACTGGTTCCGCTTTGAGTCACAGACTATATGGATAACTCTAGCATAATGTTTTCTTCCCGAAGTCTTAGTATAAAAAAATTCATATTAGACATTTTATTCTTTTTCCGTAATTTATTGTCTAGGTAAATGTTCATCACTTGACTTTTCTATCTCTGTTATGTTTTTAATTATTGATGAGTACATTCAACGGATAAGAAGATGATTTGTTTATAACGTGTCTTTCATTTTCTCATATCCTTGATGATTGCTTAATTTTTTTACGTTCATTATTATCTCTATATCATGATTCTGTACAAACATTAATTATAAGCATGAATGATATCTTGGAATTTGATATACTATTTCATTTTCTTTCCTATGTGATCTAGTGAAGTAGACGACGACAAATGACCTCTATTCACTCAACATTCGATAAAGTCTGATGAAAACAATTTTATTTTTATGATGATTATAGGACAGTGTGAATAAAAATTTATCTTTATAAATTCGGTTTATCTCTTCAATCATAAATGTTCTTAGTAGTAAAATAACAATAATTATCTTGATATATTTTTTTCAAGGATAATCAATTTTGAAATGTGTTTATGGTAACCATTCATTCATTTAAACAATCATAACATTGACTATTTTTCATTTTCTTTATTTTTGTTGATTTTGAAATTTGACAATTTATATTTTTGATCCTTGTGAAAAATTCACTTATTTAGATTTCAAAGTACAACAACATTCTTTGTTTCTCGGCCAAAAAAATATGTCTGTTTTCAACCATTATACTGAACAAATATATATCATAAATTATGACCGTTATATTTCTCTATGGAAAATTAATGTTACAAATGTCTTGGGAAAAGATTTTGTACAAGAGAATTGTGCCTTGTTTGATGTGTTTTTTGATACTTTAATTTTTGTTACTTATGTCTGGTTTGCGAGATAATGAATGAAGAGAAAGTCTTTTTATCTAAAATTTGATGTTTGGATCTTGAATACTTGGAACAAGTAGAGAGTGTATAAAATATCGAAAAGTACTGACAATTTTGTAACTTGTATTGATTTCTCACAAATGCATGATTTTCTTCGTTATATACAAATTACGCCTTCTTTTTGAATTCTCAGCATCAATAACTAGTCCAGATGTTTTGTCTTATTAATGAATTCAGAAAAACTGATTAGTTTGAAGTTCTATATGGAATGAACATTTACTTTCTATTCGATTAATCTCTATTTAGCAATATCTTCTTTTCTTTAGTCAATTGTACATATATCTAATGTATTGAACTTTTGATCTCTATTATTATTATTATTACTAAGAAATAAATATGAACGACAAGAGACTGACTACATATGCGAGCCGAATTTATAACGAAGACAATATATAATAATTAGTTTTCACTATAAGAGGTGTGTGCATATACATATTGTGAGATTAAATACCTAATGTTTGCTGATAAGTAGAACTGACATAAAATACATATATCATTGAGAGAATAATTATTCATTCACATGCAAGACAGAGCCGTATAATATATATATATATACAACAAACGACACAAAATATGACCAGACTAGAGGATGTATGTATATATATCTATATGTGTGTATGTGTACGTATGTAGGTGTGCGCGATCAGTATATACACACGAAAACTATAGTTGTGTGAACGACTACATTGACTATGATGAAATTGATCACCATGACAACATTAATTGTCGAAAGATTATGATTAATTATTATGTTATTGTATAAAAAATAAAAAAAGATAAAAATAAATAATAGAAAATATTTTTAAAAGAGATAAAAAATTTATATAAAAATTATGAAAATGAATAAAGAATTATTATTTATTTCTTAACATTGAGAATATATTTCAAGGTATTTGTTGAAGAAAAAGCGTCTCATGCGTTTATTTTTCTAATCATTATTCATTTAACCATCCTCAAATGGAATATAAACATTAATGATAGAATAACCCTAAATAGAACTAAAATGTTAGTCAGAATTTTTGGTTATTCTTGTAGATAAATGGGGTAATTAATCAATTATTCGTTCAAGTGAATTTTTTTTTCTATACTGATAAGCAAATCTTAAAGTCAGATAATAATAGTGTTAGAAATGAATCTGTGCACCAATTTCTCAACTCAAGATGAAGTAATAATATTGTGAACGTGTCACATCTGTGTAAAAATGAAAGAATGAAAATCCGTTTTGTATGTATATAAACTGTACTGATAACTTTTTTTTCGCTTTTTTACAGAGAAAAAGTGTAAGAAAGAGAACGGGAAAAATAAATCTATGGTATAATGTATTTTTCTTCTTTCGAATCACGCCAAAAAAAAGAGGAAAAGAAGTAAGAATCAGTGATTAGAGCGTATGTTGAAGTAATTTGAATCAGGCTTTAAAATTTTTCAGACCGTATTTTCTTTTATATATTATTCATTTTCGATTAGAAAAAAAATCTTATCCTACAGATAGATCGATTAGAATCGTAGTTATCAATTTATACAAAAATTATAGTGAAATTTATTATGGTTAATTAATTTAATGAATTTTTCAGTAGGATGTCTACAGTTGATATGTATTATTCTAACTTATCCTATCTGTCAATGGTATAAATCATAGTTAGTTATTCGGCAAGGATAATATTCTTATTTTTTTCTTTTTGTTTGTCAAATATAATTCATATTATGACGTATACACACATATACACACGTTCGTATATTTTATATATTATAACTATTAAATCTTATTAAATAATGGTGATAAGGTATAGTTAAACAGGATTTTTGTTGAAATTAGATATTTGTACTGATAGAATTATATATTCACTTGAAATTCGTTCAGTTTTTGACCACTCATTAAATTTTTCGTCTAGTTGAGAAGAAAAACACACGTTGATTTTATCTTTGGACATCAATAAGTATGGATCAATTCACCTATGTTTTAGGTGAACTTTAAATGATTGACGAGAGATAATGAATATGTGAAATGAAATAGAAAACGACGTTGGTGGAAGTTATCCATCAACAATTTTTTGTACGCTTGTACATTGTCTGTGCTTTTCTTTTTCATTTATTTCTCATGAGATATTAAAATTTAAATATTGATGTTCAAAATGATTATTTTTCTCTCTTTAAAAATAAAATAGACATTATTTTGTTTGTTTTTCATGTGATGCAAGAAGTAATGAGGTTTGCCTCTATGCATTAGATAAGGAAAAGGTGTATTTTTTTTGGTTGGTCACAAATTTGAGACTCAAACGTATTTTATAAATATTCTGTCGAGACGACACGAATAGGTAATTATTTATCATCTCATCTATGCACATATCAACTGTATATAGGTAAAACAGATTGAACGACAGTTTTTGATCTAGATTTGATTATATTATTCTAATAAGATATTAAAAAAAATGTTTTTTTTCTCACAAACATAAGTTGCATTGAAACGATCTAGGTAAGAAGCGAGAGATTGAACATTGTAGTTTTAAGCAAAGATTAATTCTTTCAAAAATGATGAATTCTCGAATAATAAGCACTGAAAAATATTATAATTTACTATTCGACTTTCTCTCTCTCTTTCTCTGTCACAGACATCTTGTGATTTGTCTCTGTATCTATAACCTTATTTTATTGATTGTTCATACTTGAATCTCTATTGCAAATATTTAATAAACATCAATATTTTTCTTTTTTTTCTCTCTATGTTCTCAATCATGTTCATTAAATAAAACACTTATATTTGGCTACAATAACAATTTGAAGAGACAATGTAGATATGTTTGATGATCTAACCTATGTTATTCTTATTTATTTAACAAAGCCAATTATATCATTCTTTTCCAAAAAAAAGTATATCCTTGAACTTGTCAACAAGTTTACCTAGAAACATGTATCAATATAACTAATCAATATCGTTTATATATGATGTATAGAGGAAAAGAGAAACAAATAGAAACATTAATCAAATTAGAAGAAAAATGTTTACTGTATTAATAACAGGGAATAGATGTGTTTGTAAAATGATAAGTAGAAGGAAAGAAATAACCTACACAGGTGGACAATGTGAAAGGTGAACGCACATGCATAAGATAACCAAATTATTTATGTATTATGATTCTAAAGATAAATGGTAGTGGGAGCACTATACAGGTATAGAATACATCTGGCCTCTTTTTTGACTGAACGACGAGTAAAGAAATGGTTGCATCACATTTCTAATTTTTGAAAGAAGAAAAAAAAAAAATGATATTACGTTTTGTATTTTGTGTGTAATATTCGAATGGTATTCTGTCGTCTTTCGTGACAATTGTGATTGATCTCTTTCTATGTACATATAGATCTATTCACACACACCTTATCTTTTTTCTTTCTTTCTTTCATTCTTTGTTCTTTTCTTAAATATTACATATAGTGTGAAAGGGAATCACAATGTTCCCAGATGACGATGATTTCTTTTATGTTTTACAATATGCTAGTACAGGTATGTTTGACTCTGAACACATTTATCAGAAAAAAAAGAAGAGCCGATTTGCACTCGTTATACGGTAGATCAATCAGTTACTCATCATAGAAGTTTTTTGAAAACATAGCTTATTCTTTCTAAACTTTTGCTACTTTTTTTCTTTCCTAAAGTTCCTCTATCATCATTTGTTTGCTTCACTATGAAAGAGAATGATTAAATATCGGGAGTTTCCGGTTAGAAGTAAATGTTTAAATTCTAATAGTTGACATGTTGTGAATTATTCAATCTGTCAAGTATAGAACAAAGTAGTTTTATGTTTACAATGAATTGTCCATTTGATCATATTCAGTAGGCTTCTTTGTCAGTGTTCGGATATGTCACTTTATTGAATTCACTCTTTGTCTTTGACTTTGTAAAATTATGTAATACAGAAGAATAATACTTCAAGAGTTGTTGATTGAATTCAAACATAGGAAACGACATATATTATCACAAAAAACAACCTTTTCACTAATTCATTGTTAATTTTACGCAGATAAAGTATAGAATTCGATTACTGGGGTATTCTTCAAACCATTTATCACACTTTTGTTGTTCGGTAACTAAACGTTGTTGTATGTGAGCGTGAAAGTTGTGGTCAATAGATTGAACGAAGCAAAGTTTGCTACATTCAATCTATGCGCCGAATGAATTTATCTTAAGAAATATTGCACGGAAACGTCATTTTCAAGGTGAGTTTACTGTTTTAATGTGTAAAAATAACAAAGAAATCTAGTAATCCCCGCTATCTTACACATCACTGATAGCACTCCATTGCAAAGTTCATGCAAATAGTAAAATTTATCACTTCTTCTATATGCTACTACTGCTATCTTCATCAGCTACGACAATTTTTCGTATTTTCTTAATAAACAAACGGAGACGCATATTCGCGAAAAAGAAAGATTTTGTGTAAGGGATCTTATCTGTCACCAGTTCTCAGATAAATAACGCCATGTAAAAATTGTAAGTAGTTACTTGCGATTACTAATTGAATAATAAGAGAAAATGATTATGTCATTATTCTACTTAATCTGTTATGTGCGGATCAAAAAAGATCTTAGAAACGTTGTAAATTGGTTGCTAAAAAAGATTTGTATGTTGATTTGTTAAAACCACAGAAAATGTGCTCCAAATCGAAATTAATCTGTATCACTTTGCCTCATCGGAGATCGTATTTTATCCTAAAACTCATGTAGCAGATTTCTACCGATGATATTTATCAGTCCTACGCCGTGCTGATGTTTCAAAAATGATTATTCCAGTGTTTTGTATTTTCATTTTGCATTGCTGAAACTTGGAAACAGAAGAAATGGAGATTTTCTACGAGACCATTAGCTACACTCATCTACGGTAGTACCATCATTGTATCTATCCACAAAGTCATAGAAAAAGACTGGCAGAGATAATGCACAGAAGAAGTCATAAATAAATCTAAGAATTCAGAAATGTTTAGAATGTTGTTTATGTAGATTTAGTTGAAAAAGCGTCCAAAATACTGTGGGCCGAGAAATTTACTCCATCTTTTCATGTTTTTTCTCTCTTAATTTAATGAAGACTATTTCAAGCTTATCATTATCACTTTTTCTCTTTTGATTATGTATAAATTTTCCAAGGCATTTACGTGTAGTGTGTGTGTGTGTGTGTATGCAATACATTGTCAACGCACACACAATATGAAGAATAATAAAAAAGAAAACGACGTCGGTGAAATAAAATGTCACACTTTAGCCTTCACACAACAGAAATTAAATATAGATATTTGCATAAAAATAAAAATGGAAGAAAGACTTAAAGTTTTTAAACTAATGAATTGTGATTACAATGAAAAGGTGTAGATGATGTCTGTCTATCATAAAACAGTCTGTATAATCTAATCTAAAGTAAATTATACATTACAGACAAGAAGTTTTTGTATTCGGGAAACATGTGTGTACAGCAGTGAAGGTTGATCAAAAATTTTCTATAACTAAGGTAAGTATGAGTAGAGAGTAGTTGCTTGAGAGAAAGTGTTGATCCTAACGTATTGTATACTGTTATCAGATAAGTACGTCCTGCTTAAATTTGTATGTGTTTGCTTGATCATTATGTATATTTAAGAAAGTAAAGTTCATCGACACTTATATTGTGTTCTCAATTGCTTGAGACTAAAAACATGTCTGAAAATGAAGAAGAAGAAAAGGTTAAACAATGTCTCTTGGTGATCAAAATACATTTAATTTATTTATTTGTTTTTATGTATATGTAGACTCAATATTGTTCTATTCAGCACGAGACATATTCAGGTCTACATTATTTTCCGCCTGTTAACAAAATCATCGGAAAATGAATGACCTTGATATTTGTCGGTTTCAAGATTGACATAATTCATGAGATCCTTCAGATTTTATCCCGTGACTAAACGTACATGTAAAGTATTTAAAAATATATAAAATGATCAAATACTCATGCTCTGTACAGGCTACAGAGTAACCGTGAGTGTGAAAATACAGATTCTCAGTACCTTGTTATCAGAGAATTGCGCTCTATTTAAACTTTTGTCCATTTGCTTGATCATTATTGTAAGTATTCAAGAAATTCTTAACGTGCGTTTGAGATATTATAATTCTGCAAATTTTTTATCAGTTACATTTAATTTCGATTATTTGGATGAAACAGTGGCGTATCGTTGATTATGAAATGAGCGCACTGTTATTGAATTGAATCAGCGTGTTGCTTCAATAAAAAATCATCATATGTCGTTAACAGATATATAATGACGATGAATTATCACGTAGTGAAAATCGAGATAACATCCACAGAGAAAGATGATCGTATATATTTGAACGTAAAAATCAATCAAACAATGGATGAGTTGAATCTCAGTAGGAAATCATTCTACCATATGGACAGATAAGACAATGATGTAATTATATGAACACAGTTCAGATTGAAGGTCATTGATGAGTGAATAGATGAAATACAGAAAACATGATATTTCATCGTGGTGTTGGGAATGTTTTGTTTTGAAATGCTTCATCTTGCTATAATAACGACAAGTTTTTTGGTAAAGTCTATTTAAAATATAAGCTATCCTTAAAAGTGGCAGAATATCCCTGAAAGATTATCTTGACTGTTGAACTAATAACCTCGCAAGCATTTCTGCACTTGCTTGCACATCTGTCATCATGCTCATTTGAACCATTCTAGCCTAAGAGAGATGATACATATCTATTCAAGGATATATATTATTCTTCCTGAATAGCTGATTGTACCCTAATTGACAATTGTAGATATTACTAACTTTCACGTTTTGATTTGAAGTACGTTCAATGATGATGAATATGATACTGTCTGTCGTTATTTCATCTATTTTGTTTTGTTGGTGCATCATCGTTTACATATTTCCATCATCATAAAAGACGACAAATGTCTGCCGATGAGTGCTAACTGCTCGCATCTTTTGCAACCTTGTCTAAAGCAAGGTTTCATTTTTTTCGTTAATGTGGTAGAATATTAGTTCGAGGAAGAAAAGAGAATGTAAAATACTCACTCAACATATCTTTGTCAAGAGTGTGCGACGGTTTTAGATGATGTGCTATAACGGAAGAAGAAGCGTATTATGCTACCGTTACACTGTGTCGAACATACACACATACATATATTACATAATTGTTGAGGAAATCTCAAGTGTATATAATGTCAAACGAACAACATATAACTCGTTTTATACATATATAAAGGAAAAAGTTCATAATAACATCGTGATACAAGATGACATAATTGACCAAACTATTTCAATTGTTTGTTTTGTTGATATACAGTTGTTTGAAAGAATATGAAAATTTGTTTATGAACACGTTTTATTAGTCATCATACGTACAAAATGTTTTCAACATGTAAGATACCAAAATACAGGTTTTTTTTTATATAATTTTTTGCGAATTTGAAATACCATTCTTAATGTGATTATGCTGTACTCTTAGATAACCGCTGACCTCCTTATTTGTCTCAAACAACTTTCAGATGTGTTAAGCATTCAAACTTGTCTTCTAATTAAATGCAATAATATCTTTGTTTCTATTTCTTCGTCGTTTCAGGTATATTTAGTCCGACTGATAACGAAGCAATTCAGAACTGTCTCTCTTCTTTTAATGATGATACGCAAAGATCACCACCAGTATCGATCGATGCGAAAATCAATTCAATGAACTATAATAGTAATACCACACAATACAATTACCAACAAACAGACATATGTACAAGTGCTATGTCAATGCCAGTTCGATTTCCCCCTCGTCTTCTCACTGATTGTTCTTCTGATAAATTATTATTACCTCTTCGTTCAACAAGAACCGTTAAACGTCGTTCGAGTTTATTTGAAAAAAGCCGCGATTGGGTAAGTTAACTGAACCGTTTAAAAACAAAATCTGAATAGAGGCGGTCTTATCTTAAAGTAAAATAGAGAGATCATATTACTAGCAAGGCCTTATATTGCTTCAATTTTGTTTTTGCCTCCAGGAATACGTTTACGTATCAATAGCATTTTCAAAGTTGTATCCAAAGGCATAACACTTCTACTCGATGTAACCCACTTTGTGTTTTAACAAAAAGTTCAAGTTGATCGTTACATTCTCTACAAAAATACGTTGAGCATTTTTTATACACTAGAAAAATAAAAGAATGTGGAAGGAGCATTACGAAGCTTTGATCTTTATTACTTTCTCAGACAAAAGTCAAATTTATTTTGAATAGGGTGCCATGCTTCACCGTGGACTTAAAATATATGTTCTGGTATTCCAAAGTGTATCAAAGATTCGCTTTAAACGTGTTTTTCTGGTGCAAAAGGCGATTTTACGGTCAGAAAAAGGGGAAATTGCATTTTTCGTTTTAACATAGAAGCTCTTGCCCTTTCTTTATTCGGATGTGAAGAAAGAATTATACATTGCTTTAAGATCAAACAACCGCGTCTATGCAAATGTGCATTCGATTCCCCACAGTCGGTAAGCTCCGACGAACTACTCTTAGTTTTTAAGCCGACTGAGTAGTTCACTTTTCTCCAGACTACGTATGTTCTTCTTTCTTTCTGTACAGTTTTTCCACCCATCGTTCTCGGTTATTTCTGATCGTACACATTTCGGGAAACGATGATTCGAAAGCAGAGAAGTTAAAGATGATACATCTGAAGTTAGTTTTCGGATATTTACTTTAGTTATCCTATAATCAGTGGTACAAAACGAAAAAATTTATTTTTCAAAAAACTCTATCGTTTTTCCTATGAGATAATTAATCGTCACGTGATATCGTTCGTAGTGAATCTGTACTATAGTGCTTGAGATGATGAAAGGTATAGCAGAATGTATGATAGGATAATGAATCAGCTGATATGATATTGTGAATAATATGTTGTAGACGATACATGTAGTGAAGGTTCTTATTCTCTTCTTAATATTCACAATTTCGTTTCTGTCTTACTTGCTTGTTACAAGCGTTCACTCAGTCGGCTTCCAATTTTCGCAGAGCGCAGTTGGCATCTAGTTTCTTATGTCACTTTATCAAAGACAAAAACTTGGTTTTTAAAGTCAGAACTTGTTTTGACTTTTTTTTCTCCAAATCATTATTGAGTATTTAACTGTTCGTGTCGTGAAGATTTCTGTACCATTTTGAGTGCTAGGACGCTTGGGATGGTTTTAAAATGTAACTATAACTTAACAAGAGTTTTTAGTGCGGTTTTGGAGAAAACTTAGCCGAAACTTTTCTTCCATAAGAATTTCGGAGAAGGGTAAATAAAAAAACCTGAAAAATTCGATTCTGCTGAGTTGCAACGCCAATTTCTGACTATATTTTACAAACACCCTGAGCCTCTTAATAATAAAATATCGAGAAATATTTGTCGCACGAGTACCTACTCTTTGACCCTTACTTTTAGTATAACTCTGGAAAACCTCAACATGCTTTATTTGCATGTTGTATTAAAAACATGTTGTTGACTTGTTTCAATTCATACGTTGTTGATTTTCATAGAGGTTGAAATTTTTAAAAAAAATGATCTGTAAGAGCCATTAAAGATAAGCCACGACCTAACGTGCTCAATCGACCATCTCGGATTTCTTCCATAGCAAGGGGAATTAAAACGGCGAATCCTTTTTTAAAATGATCCGTAAGCGGTAATATGCGGCAGAGATGCAAGCGAAATACGAGAATACTTACTTTCCCTAGTTCATGCATTAATGCCCTGTTAGCCAATAACTAAACTGTTGTGTGATATAGAAACAAAAAGAGAAAACGAGTCATAGTTTGTGCTTGTTTATATTTAGGCTAGACGTATTATATCATCTCGTCGCAGGAATCGACGACATACTTCGTCGAATGATACCATAATAATACAAGATACTTGTTGTACTAATTTTGATACTCAAGAGGGAAAAAAGAAGAAAAAAATCTTCAATAGTCATAGTCTTGATGAAGACGGTTATTTATCACCACTGGAAATCCAAGCTAAGGTAGGAAAAACTATATTATTCAACATAAGTAGCTATTAATGTGTAGTATTCTGTATTTCAGTTAGAAAATATTTCCCATGAAGATGATCGACATTATACAGTACCAAATCGTCGACGTTCAGTTTCAAGAGTATCGTTTAACTCCCCACCCTCTCTACCAGTCATAGCCGATCACGGATTACATTTGAGTAATTCTGAATCACATCTTGTTTATCGTTGTCAGTCGGTGCGTACATTTAAACAACAACCACCATCAACATGTCTATTAACAAAACGTTTGAGAGGGACAGAGTTAGTTGCTGATATCGATGATAAAATAAGCCCATTATTATATGCGAATGATATTACCGAGAAAACAAATCGTTCATATCCTGTGACATCGTTTGCAGCCGAATATAAAAAAAGTTTAATATTGCATGATGGACCTATCGATTATATTGATTTCGACGTTAACGATGTTGGAGATCAATTTCAACAAACTAGTCCTAGTCACGTGTATTGTGCGGTTAGTGAACCGGATGAGACAGATGATGTCCTTGAAGATTTAAGAGTATTATTCGGTGATGATGACAAATTATCACCACCACCAACAGTGTCGACTCTACCTTCTATTGGTACTTTACCATCATCAAGACGTCGATTAGCGGCACGTACTTCTCCTTTGTCTTCTCGTCGATCAACGAATACATCTTCAATATCAAGCGATTCTGGTTGTTATGTGATGAATAGTTTGAATAGTGAAGTATTTGATCAACCAATGAGTCCTATGAAAATGATACCGTTACATCTTGTCTCGTGTACATTATGTCCATTAATACCAGTTACAGTTTTTTCTGATAACTCAGTACCATCTTCTAACATTTATTCAACAGAGCATAAAGAATCTTCGTCCTCACCTGCAAATGTTTATTTTCAATATTCGACATGTAATTGTGGCCATCACCATCACTCATCTAGTAACGTGAAGTTGTATTATCCACAAAGTGTAACGTATGTAAAGCAAAATGATTCATCAATAAAAAATTCATATTCATATCATTCATTATCGAAAAAAAAAAAATATTCTTCAAGAAAAAAATGTATGTCAAAAGAATCGGGATCATCGGTTATTGAAAATCATAATCGCTGCACTTGCCCATATTATTCGACAAATAATTCTTTCTCTACGTGCAATCGTCCCCATAAAATAACAGTCGAAGAACAATATAAAGCCAAAGAAACGTTTTTATTGAACGATGATGATAAAGAATTAATGGTTGTACCTTGGTACAAACCTGATGCTGAAAGGTAATATAACATCATTTTCTGCATGCTATCTGAAATTTTATATGTAATTTTAGAGAGGCCGTTTGTGATACGTTACAAAAAGCTGATTATGGCATGTTTATATTACGAAACAGTAAAACGCATACTGGTTGTTTTGCATTATCGATTAAAGTACCAAAATATTATCAAGAAAATAATATCGTACATTATCTTATTGAAAAAGTGAACAATCAAGGTTACAGAATAAAGGTAGTTGAAAAACGAGCAAAGAAATAGTCAGTTATTGATTAATTTATTTTTCATCTTTTAGGGTACGGTGAAAATATTTCCAAGTCTCGCGTCTCTTATCACTCATCATTCTGTTATGCCAGAAACTTTTCCTATCACACTGAATTTGGCAGCTTATCAAGTATCAAATAGTCAGTTTCAATAAACGGGCTTACTACATTGCTTTTATTTTCAGTCAGATGTAATTTTTAAACAAGTAACAGTAAATTAGCATTTGTTTTGTTTGTAGCTTTGCTAAATATATACATATACATACAAAAAGTTAGTGGATATCTTTTAGTTTTTCAATAGAAAGGATAACATGGTCCTGATAGAGGCAGAATAAGACGTTCAAGCTTGAATGGCAGAACAAAATTCATTCATTCAATAATTTTACTCAACTGTCCTTAGGCGCATACGTGAAATTATGACTCAAAAAAAAAGCGTAAGATGCCGCTAATTTAAAAGTTCAGCAAAATATTTTTTGCGTTATTTATACATGGTTGGATAGAGCTTGTCGGATTCATCAAGAATGTACGTGTTTTGTTTTTGTAAATTTGTTTATTGTAAAAATGATTCAAAAAACTTCAGAAACTCAAAATTTCAAAAAACACTTTAGTTTAAAAAACCTTCAAAATTTTTGTTTTTCTTTCTTGTTTTTCAACTTTTTGAAAGTATTTTTTCTGGATTCAGCTTCAAAAATCGAGTATGAAAATGATCTTAGATCAAGTCTGAAGTCAAAGGGCTGTCTATTACGGATGTCCCTGATTCACCTGTCAAATGTCACTAAACAATTTTGGAAAAGCTATCTAGTTTTTGTGCGAAGAGATGAAGTACTGATTTGTATGTCATTCGAAGTGCCGGAAGCTCGGCTTTAAAAGTGCGACTCACTTTTTTTAAAATTTTGTTTCGTTCCTGAGGAAAATGACTTTTATTGGGGCCATCCAAAAACGAGAAGGGCATTTTCTATTAACCTTTTTAGTTTCGACTCAAATTTCGTCCATGTGTTCGTCGCTTCAGAACACATTTCAGCAAAAAACAGAATTTTAACAGATCTTCTTATATTTTGTATGCTTTTTCGTTTATTTGCATCTTAGTTCCTTTCAGATTGATGTCTTTTTAATTTTGTCAGTTTATCTTACCATTTTGTTATGCCTAAACTTTCAAAGTGCCGTTGACAATGTCGTAATCTTATATCAAAGTCTGATGAAAATGGTGCCCCCCATCCTCACACAAAAAACTGGATAGTTTTTCAAAATTGTTTAGCGACATTTGAGAGGTGAGTCAGGGACACCCCTGACTTCAGACTCGATCTA